TATTAGAATAGGTTACTAAAAATTAAAATATTTTGAAGGTGGAAACGATCGTTGTGAAATTAAAACGTCGAAGAAGTGAAGTTTGTGGGTTGAACATTTAAAATACCAATGGGATGTACTTTTGAACAATAGAAATAGTGGTGAGCGTGGTTAAATAAAAGTTTTTTTTTTTTAATTTTTTCGTCTTCTTTCTCGATCACGAGAAATGGTATAAATTTCTAGTCTTCTAGGTAGTTGGTTTCAAGACTACTTTTTAATATAGTGTGAGACTAGGTTTTTTTTTCATCAATTCTAACTTCTTCTTTTTTAAAATTTTTTTTTGTAAGTTAGAAGCATTAAATAATTTTCATTTAATTTTGTGTTTTGGAAGCTAGACAAGCTATTTTGGTTATAGACTTAGAGTAATGGCCTATTTAAAAATATGAATAAAAGGTCTATAAATATTGTTTAGGTGTGTATTAAATAAATATTAAATGTATGAAATATTTAGCTAGTTGTTGTTTTTTGTTGGGAAATAGGTAGGTTTAAAAAATTGGAAAGAGAATGTAAAAGTTTTGTATCTATGTTTGTCTTTTTGAAGATTGTTCAATTTGGGTTAAAGCGATACTAAAAAGAAATAAGAAGATAAAGAAAAATATTTAAATAATTTATTAATGGATAACAATTTTTTTTAGTATTTTTTATTGTTGTAAAGGCAAATAAAAGAATTTATATTTTTAGTTTTGCGAGTTTAAGGTTTAGAATTTTATAAAAGTATTTTCTTTTTATGCGTAAGTAATGGCTTTACGAGTTTGTTAAAATATTTATGTTTTTGGTTTTATAATATAAGAATGGGTTTCCCCGATAGAAGAATAAATAAATATTTATATTTAAATAGTGTTTTTTGATTTTGTTAAATATCCGTATTCGCTAAATTATGATTTATAATTTTTTTTAATTTAAATAAGTTAAGGTTGTATTTAATTGTTCAAGAATATGTTTTTCTTTGTAAAGATATCAAATTTTATAAAACAATAGATCGACATGTTTTTCATAATTGTTACGGGTGTAACGTCTTGATATTTTGAAATTTTAGAAGATGTACTTTTAATAATTTGATAAAGCATTTGTATGTTTTTAACATATAAATGTAAAAATTGAATGCTAATTTTGAAACTTGTAATCGGTGTTGAATGCCTTGAACAAAGGCTTAAAACCTAAGAAAGATACCTAAAAAACCCAGAATGCTTATTAGAAAAATTCTACCAAAAATCTCAAAATCCTTTATTCTCTCTCTCTCTCTCTAAATTCCTACAATGAGGCTTAATTTATAGTCATAACCCAATCATCCTCCACCCTAGGATTGCGGCTAATAAATCGGAACCCTTGTGCACTAAAATTAAAGAACACATCTCTTGGTGTTCTTGGCCTTTTATGCGGGAAGCAAAAATTGAAAAAAAAAAATGTAGTGTGTGTTTAAGTTTGTGAATTGCGGTGATAATTACGGGTGGTGCAATGGGTGATACACGATTCTCGGCAAGTATAATAGCTAACCGGGAATCGCGGAACAAAAATTAAGAAATTTATCCCCAAGAAAGACGATGAATAGTGTTCGAGAATTGATTTTGGGTTGCAGCAAACGGATATTGGTTCGATCAATTTTGGTCCCGTCGTTTGCTCCTCACTTTCAATTTTATCTTTAGATGCTTCAATTCTTAGCAATTATACCCCTAATTTCTGGTTCAACTGCATCTCCATTGGCTTTCAATTTCGGTCCCAATTTCGTTTAGTTGCACCCCTATCTCATTTAATTTAGTCGCTAATTGACTTTCAATTTTAAATCTAGTTGTTTTCAATTTCGAGTCCTTATTCCCTCCAATTATATCCCAAATTAATTATTTAATGCAAGATTTTTTGGTTTTTTTTTTAAATTTTAATTTTTCATTTTTTTCTTTTCTTACAAAAATAAAATAATAATAAATCTTAAAATTAAACATAAAACTTGTAAAATTGACCAAAATAAACATGAAAAATAAAATAAATAAATAGAAATAAAAGGAATAAAATTAGCAAAAAAAAAAAATACTAGAAAAATAATTGAAAATAAATGTAACCCGGATTTTGGGTTATGACAATATTATAGTTGAAGTTTATAAACATGTTATTTTAAATGGAACCAAGTATTAACAAACGTGGAAAAGAATGTAAAACACAAATGCACAAAAGGTTCCATTAGAAAGAAATCATTCATGAATTGAAATAACTTTTAATGCATCCATGTTATACTCATATGTACATTTTAGTTTTTAACAAAATCTTTAATTGCTTTCGTGAAATATAGAAAATAGGTAATTGTTAGGGAACATTAAAAGTAAATTTATTCAACTTATTAATAAAAGATAATATTATTAACAAGCAATTTAGAAGACTCGTGTGTGTGTGCGTGTGTTTGTGTATATATACATACATATACATATACATTCTTCTTTTTCTTTTTATTTCTTTTATTTATTTATTTATTATTTATATTAAATTTAAATAAATTTTTTTGTATCGTTAATGTTGAATCTTTCCATATAGTATGTCCGGACCGAATAAGCATACATATATATTTTTTACGCCCCGTAACTCTTTCTTAGCTAGGCTTTGGGCGAATAGCGAGCAAGTACAAGTATTAGTAGCATAGCAAAAATGTATTCTTCGTCATTAAATTAATATGTTTGCTCGTGGTATTTGTGGCCTCGTGGGAGAATCGATGATTGCATCTTTGATGCACTTGCTAGTACTAGTACATTTGAAAATTCTTAGTTGGCTAGTTGTAAATAGCCCCAGACTATGGAACAAAGGATTATAACGGACTTACCTATATCGAGGTATTGACGGGTGATTCTTAAATATCGCGAACGGAATGTGATATGATGAGATAAAATGCAATAGAAAAAAGAGCATAGGGAAAGGCTACTCTTAACGGTCAAAGCGAACCCTTTCATTCCGAATTAAAGAATTCGGAATGAATCAAATCTCCCAAGTAGGATTTGAACTTAAGACCGGTTAGTTAACAACGGATCGCCTACCACCGAGCTATCGAGGAATAACGGGGAGATTAGATCTCATAGACTTCAATTTCTATTTTCAACCCACGACTAATATGAGCTCGAAGTTTCCTTCGTAACTCACGGAACTTCTTCGTAGTGTCTTCGTTCCATGCCTCATTTCATAGGGAATCTCAAAGTGGCTCTATTTCATTATATTTCATCCATATCCCTATTCCATTCATTTAATATCGCCTTTCTTTAGTGTCATTGAGACATTTAATTAGAGATACCATTATTTTTGGTACGAAGTTCCTATAAAAGTAGGAAATGCCCTACCTTTGAGTGCGGTTTAAACTATTGATTTACGTAATTGGAAGTAACTAATTAGGTTTACGATGATGAGATACCACATTGTTCGAGGAACCTCAGATGCTATCGAGTAAAGAATCGTCAACAAGAGCATTCTAGATTCTTATCCAAGACTTTCCTATCGAGATAGAATTTGTAACTTGCTATCCTCTTGCCTAGTAGGAAAAAATTTACCTCCGTGGAAAGGATGATTCATTCGGATAGACATGAGAGTCCAACTACATTGAATTACTAGAATCCATGTTGTATATTTGAAAGAGGTTGACCTTTTTGCTTCTCTCATGGTACAATCTTCTTCTTGCGAATCCATGTTATATATTTGAAAGAGGTCGACCTCCTTGCTTCTCTCATGGTACAATCCACTCGGCGAAAAGAGGATAAAAAAATATATTTTACAATATCGGGGACTAAAATGAAATTCAATGTCAAATTTGCATATAAAAGTAAAAAAAAAAAAGGCTAAAAAATAACACAAATGCTATTGCATAACGAAAGTGAATAGTATAAACAAGTTAGAGTGAAGAATGTATATGAGTCCAAATAAATAATACTGCGAATAATAACTCATCTCAAATCTTTTAGTTTTTATTATTATTAATTTTAACTTTATTATTATTATTATTATTAAAAAACGATTAATATCAAATCTTTTATTTTTTTCCTTAATTTTAACTTTATTATTATTATTATAATTAAAAAAAACGATTAGTGATTGTAAAGTTCTTACCAAAAGACATTCCCATCACATTTAATGATGCCCAACTAACCATACCTACTAATATTCATGAAAAGAATAGATATGAATATCGAGAACTTAAAAAGGCCGCAACTTGCAACCAAATTATTGGCGCAATAAGGACATTTCGATGCTAATTTAATGCAATATTTACTCTTATTATTGGGCGAAGAATTTGATAAAACCAAGTCTCAAGGTACTAAAGTGAGAAATCACAAACCACATAGCAATTTTATACTCCTTTTTTTTTCCTTTTAAATGACAGTCCTTGATCCTTATTTAGCATCATTAAAATTTAAAACAAGAGTGAATCATTTGGCCATGATCTATGAGATCACCCACTAAGAAAATCATAGCACAAGGACATATTCACCCTTCTATTACCACATGATTTTCAATTGGATCCTCTATCTATTATATATTTACCCATAAATCCGCATCATTAAAATTCATGACAAAAAGGACATAGTTTTCCAAGGCAAAAATTCGTTTTTCATAATTTTAAATGCAAAACTTTTAGGCAATGGTTAATAGTGCAACGTCCATAATAAAGGGACCCAACTAGATATTTTTTGTTTTGGGATCCAATTAAGAATGGGGGATAGTTGGGTTTGCCCAAAATGATGTTTGAAGAACAAATTGAAACTACTAAAATTCAAGGCCCATTGAAGTTTTATAGTGGGCCTTCTCTCCCTAAATAATTAAAACCCAGTCCTTGCTAACATATGGAAGCCTAAATATCTATCTTGTCTAAAAAAACGCCGTCGTTTATTTCACAGAAAGCAAACTAGCTCTAGCCTAGGCTGCATATTTTTTCGACTTTCGCCCCTATCGCTCTCTCTCTCTGCGAAGCAAAACCATTTCGTTCTCTGCTTGTAGCCATGACAGAAGTAGCGAGCTCAGTGGTTCACGAGGTGCTAGGCCGCCGATTCCTTGAAGTCGATCAACCAATCATCGATTACATAATCAATGTACTCGCCGACGAAGATTTTGATTTCGGCGATGAAGGTGCAGGCGCTTTCGATGCCATCGGTGAACTCCTCGTCGGCGCCGAATGCGTATCCGACTTCTCCGAATGCCGCCTGGTAAACACAAACAGCTTCAAATTACCACCTTCCCTTAAAACGACAGTTTTGCGAGTCGTGTTGGTGAAATTAATTGATTCAGCTTTCGCTTTAGAAAAGATTAGCATTAGCTTTTTGTTTCTTGTCGTTTTGATTGTGTAAATTGCTTAATTAGTGTGTTATGTGATTTTGAATTGTTTTTGGTTTGGAAATTACTGATTTAGGTTTGTAGTAAGCTAAGTGAGAAGTTTGGGAAGCATGGATTGGTGAAGCCGAAACTGACGGTGCGCAGTCTCACGACTCCGTTTAGAATGGATGATGGAATGGATGAGGAAGTAAAGAAGAAGAAGCCGGAGCCGATTGAAGGTCCTGTGCTTACTGAGCGTGATAAAATGAAGATAGAGAGGAGAAAGAGGAAGGAAGAACGACAACGAGAGGTTAACTTTTGATGGGATTTTATAATTCGATGATTGTATAGGGTTTTTTTTTTTTTTTTTTTTTGAGGGGTTTTGTTGATGTTTGTGCTGTTCTGGTTGTGCAGGCGCAATACCAAATGCATCTAGCGGAAATGGAGGCAGTTAGAGCAGGAATGCCTGTTGCATGTGTAAATCATGATGGTGTTGGTGGACCAAATATTAAGGATATCCATATGGAAAACTTCAATATCTCCGTGGGTGGTCGGGATCTTATTGTAGATGGTTCTGTGACACTTTCTTTTGGAAGGCATTATGGTGGGTTTTTGTTCTTCTTTGATACTATGAATCGAGGCTTTATGCCAAAAAAGTAGGAAAATAAGAATTGAGAAATTGAAGAAGATAGTAACGCACTAATTTCGCAAGCTATTAAATGCATTTTCTCGTTGATGTCATAGCTGTTTTCTAGTTATGGTACTAATTTACTGCACTTTACATGCAGGGCTTGTTGGAAGAAATGGTACAGGAAAAACAACTTTCCTTAGGTACATGGCTATGCATGCCATTGATGGTATTCCTCGAAATTGTCAAATATTACATGTTGAGCAAGAAGTGGTTGGTGATGATACATCAGCATTGCAATGTGTTCTGAACTCTGATATCGAGCGAACCCAGCTTTTGGAAGAAGAAGTTCGTCTACTTGCACAACAGGTCAGTATGTGGTTTTTTTCGTTGCAGTAAAAGTCACCCTTTTCATATTTTTTTTCTGTTGCTCTTCCTTTTGGTGTAGTCAGTACATGTATTCTTGCTGACACATTAATTCTTGTCCTGAAGAGAGACTTCGAGTTTGATGATGCAGCTGAAAACAGCAAAAGGGATCAGAATGGGACAGTTGATAAAGATGCTATTTCAAAAAGGCTAGAGGAAATATATAAAAGGCTTGAGTTAATTGATGCATATTCTGCAGAAGCCCGTGCTGCTTCCATTCTTGCGGTCAGTACTTGAATCTTTCTTACTCTTATCATTGCTTGCTTGATTAGGCCTGAAACTAAAATTGAAAACTGTTGGCACCGTATGTGTATTGTTGATTGAAACTGGCTTTATCTCCAGTGAAAAGATATACAATGTGAACAATAAGATCTAAATAAAGCTTTGGATAGCTGATTGTAGAATGAGGGAAAAAAAGATCTAGCAGCAAGAGAACCTTATGGATTTCTCCGCGGAAAACAAATACTACAGCACTGAAACCTTGTCTTTGAGTTGATTCAATATGAACCATTGGCATGGTTCCCTTGCTTGATGCACCATTCTCATCATCCACGAATTTTTTCAGGGTCTCAGTTTCTCCCCAGAAATGCAGAAGAAGGCAACCAAAACCTTTTCCGGAGGATGGCGAATGAGAATAGCTCTTGCTCGTGCCCTGTTTATAGAGCCTGATGTATTGCTGCTTGATGAACCTACGGTACTGTATATTTTATATTCCTCTTCAGGATATACTTGTTATTTAGTATATAGCTTGGTTATTACATTTTGATCATCTGTACAGAATCATCTTGATCTCCATGCTGTCTTGTGGCTGGAAAGTTACTTGGTGAAGTGGCCAAAAACATTTATTGTTGTTTCCCATGCTAGAGAATTCTTGAACACGGTAACACTCACATTGCTGCTTATTAAGTGTTGTTTATTATAGGCTGTCAGTATTTTCTCTATCATCTTTTTTTTTTAGCTTACAGATTTGTTTGTAGGTGGTCACTGATATTCTCCATTTACAAGGGCAAAAATTGACCTCTTACAAAGGTGATTATGATACGTTTGAGAGGACACGGGAAGAGCTAATTAAGAACCAACAGAAGGCAGTTGAGGCAAATGAAAGATCAAGAGCCCATATGCAGGTTTGTTCAAATGCCCTGTCCTAACAATTACGTTATGTGAATAATGTCACACCCATGCTATTATACTGTGTTGACGTTTTGATCCGGTGTTTTATGAACAACCTCTCCCCTCTTTTAGCTTTGGTGTTTTTGACAACACATTTTGAATTTTTTGCATATCAGAGAATTTTGAAACTGCATTATCTCTTGTTTGAACTTCAATGTTGAGTTAAACCAAGATTTCCAATTATTTAGTCTTATGGATGAGATGTAAATGTTATTCTTTGTGGTGCAGTCCTTTATTGACAAGTTCCGTTACAACGCAAAGAGGGCATCTCTTGTCCAGTCAAGAATCAAGGTGCTTGTTATTATCAACTAGGACCGTTTAATGCTCTTTTTGCTCAACAAACCAATCCTTATCCTCTCCTTTGAATTCTTCAGGCACTGGAACGATTAGGTCATATGGATGAAATTGTTAATGACCCTGAGTATGCATCTCTCTTCTACGTGGTTGAATCATTTTTAAAATTTGCATTTATTCAATTAGAATCATATTTTCCTTTTCTTGGTCTGCAGCTATAAATTTGAGTTTCCAACTCCAGACGATAAGCCTGGGGCCCCTATAATAAGTTTCAGGTTTGTGTTGCAGCTTATGTAGCCCTATTTTGAGTTTATTTATGTGATGCTCATTGGATTCTTTTAGTACCACTGCAGTGCATCGATTGCAATTTGTTATTTTTTTTATAATTTTGAAGCCGTGACATTGAGCAAATCACACATGATTATTGATGTTTGGTAAATGCGATTGCAGTGATGCATCATTTGGTTATCCTGGGGGCCCCATAATGTTCAAGAACTTGAATTTTGGGATTGATTTGGAAAGCCGCATAGCAAGTAAGAATGCCTGTCCATTTGAGAACTTTTTTTTGTATTACTTCAATAGTTCAGTAGACTTTCCAGTGTAGTACACGATATTAAATTGGAGTACTTGAGGTATACTATCCGTAAGGTGGCAATTATCTTACATGCTCTTCTGCATTTATCCAGTGGTTGGACCAAATGGCATTGGCAAATCAACAATTCTAAAACTAATAGCAGGGGAACTACAACCAACCTCTGGTACAGTGTTTCGTTCTGCGAAGGTATCTTGCCAGCTCCTTTTATTGTGCATCTCAGATAGTAATTTGCACTTGGTGCTAATGCTATTCATATATTGGAAGAGTTTGTGCCAATTGATCACCTCTCAATCTCGTCTGTTCCTATGGGAGAAAAATAATAATTTTGTACACTGGAAGAAGCCTGATTTCTTTTTTATATTGATGGTGGAGAATTCTATAGTTTAATCTTGTCACAATTTTGGGTACTATCTCAGTTGAATCTGACGGGGACTAATATTGCAGGTCCGTATTGCTGTGTTTAGTCAGCACCATGTTGACGGGCTGGATCTATCTTCTAATCCCCTTTTGTATATGATGCGTTGCTTCCCAGTAAGTTCTTACTTCGAACAATTATGCTTTCTTTTTCATTTTCTTGGACATGCTTTTACAAATTTGTTACATTTCATGGTTTTAGTGAGGATAACAAGTGAGTTTTTAGTGGAGCTCTTCAGAAAATGGTAGATATTCATCCTTATATAGTTGAACCTCGGCTTCTCCTTGAGATCCAGAATATGTATTAGTAAAACCTAGAGCTCTACAACTAAATTACAGGTTCCAACGTAAGCAAAAAAATAAGTTCTCTCCTCCTCTACTTCGTATTGCATGGTAAAGCTGAAGACTTAGCATGGTCACTGAATTATTTAATTTCGTTTCCCTTAATTATTGATGCTCTGTCCTGAAATAAGTGCTCATCTATCTGTTTTTCCCAAAATCACTGTACATTGCCAAAATAATACATGAATCGATGTTGTTGTGATTAGACCATTATTTCAGGATAGAGATAATGTGATCTATTCAGTTAGGGCAAATTGCTGCTCTGAGACTTTTTACTAGGCTTTGGTCAATATCCAGATTGATGTATTGCTAGCCTAAAGTCACCCTTTGTTAAACTTACCTTTTAGTTGGTGGTTGAGATTGTCTGATATATTACCCTTTCAACCAATTTCCTTTCAGCTCTTTACTGTGGTTTGGTTTGATGCTCTGTGCTGCTTCAAAGTTTTATTTCCTTTTTTTTTCATGCCATTTACCTGAAGTTTCCTTCTTTTAGGGAGTGCCTGAGCAAAAACTCCGATCTCACTTGGGTTCTTTTGGTGTTACTGGAAATCTTGCACTTCAACCAATGTACACCTTGTCTGGTATGCTTCTTTTCTCTTCTGCATGCCTTGTTCATATCATAAAGTGGAGATCTGATTAGATCCATCTGAACTGAAGCTTGACTTGGATTTCACAAAAAGTTAGGTAATCTTTGATTGATAAATTGAGTCAAGCATGGATATGCAAACCAAATGCAATTTATGTGGGTTTTAATCAGGATGTAAATAGGGTAATAATGACTTCTTGATTGCTCGCACCTGAATCTTTATGGATTTATGCTGATGTATTAATATGCTTTACGTGTTTGTAATTGCTTTTTTACACTAGGTGGTCAGAAAAGCAGGGTTGCATTTGCAAAGATAACTTTCAAGAAACCACACATAATACTGCTTGATGAGCCATCCAATCATCTTGTAAGTCATTGTTGTCACTCTTTTTTGGCCTTTTTGGTTAATATCAAACATGGTGGAGTGTGCCAATGAGCTTGTAGCTCAATTGGCTCCCATGTCCTCTAGAGTTTTCAGGTTTGAGCCGCTACTTTGTAGTAAAAAAAACATGGTGGGCAGCGTTGAAACATGGGAAATGATAATTTGTTCAGTTTCCCTACTGATTTTGTGTTGGAGACTTGGAGTCAATACAGAGGTGCGCTTGAAGTGGGGAGTGTGATGTCCCTATTGGGATGGGCCCTTCCCCCGGAGGCCCCACCGTCGGGCCATAAGCACCCTGTTTGCCTATTATTATTGAGCTCATTTTGAACAAAAAATATGCTGGGAAGCCTTTTTAGTTCTTTGATATGTGGATGAAGCATAGCACCTTCCCTCGGATCTTGTCTAAAGAAGGGGGAAAAAATTAGCTGCGATAAAGAGTGAAGTTGGATTTCACAAATTTTTTAATTTGAAATATTCATTTAAGCTCTCGAAAGGAACATGTACACATGTGATTGATAAAGCTTTCAAGTTATTTTGTTGATAAAACACTTTAGCCAGGTATTCAGGGTTGAACTATTTGGTTTTCAAATCTGTGTCGACACAATAACATCATAGCAACTTCTTTTAACCCACTGATCTGTGTTAACCTGCAGGATTTGGATGCTGTGGAGGCACTAATCCAAGGCCTTGTTTTGTTCCAAGGAGGGATTCTCATGGTATTGCACCTGTTTTGCTGGATGATTATTATTTGCAGATTTGATTTATCAAAATAAATGGTTCATCAAGATAATATATAAATGACTGGTTTTTATGAAACTTCTGATTTTTCTTGCTTGCAGGTCAGTCATGATGAGCATCTAATTTCTGGAAGTGTGGATGAACTATGGGTAGTATCGCAAGGAAAGGTGACACCTTTCAATGGGACTTTCCATGATTATAAGAAGATACTCCATTCATCCTGAATATACTTGTCGAGTTGTCATTTATTCCGGGTGCAGCAGGAATGGATGCCATAGATTGATTGACACAAATGAAATAGGCTCTTGCAATTTTGGTTTTGATTCATCAGCAGGAATGAAGCAGGAAAAGCTTATTGAATATGGTGTGTTGAGTGATTTGGTATGCTGCGCGTAATGCGCCAGTAGCCACCAGTAGCCGAGTGCTTAAGATAGTATAAGCTTGTAAGGCTAATCACATCCCTTAATACATTGGGCATGGAAACTGCTCTTTTGGAGAATCAGACGAGTTCTATGAATTGAAGTTTTGTCAAACCTATATAATTTCATTTGTTACATGTGTTATTTTCCTTTTTTTTTTTTAAATGATGTTGAATCATATCACTAATATATTTCTGTGTTTACTTGTTCAATTCTTAATTAATCTCTAGATGTAAGGAAAAACTCGAAGGCTTAGTGACTTCTTTTAAATGTGAGAGAATCTTCCATGCAACTCACCGAAAAGAACTTTAATTTAGTATGGAAACAGGTTCCTCTTCTAAAAAGAGAGATTGTTCTGCCATTTTGAAATTTAACGCCTTTTTGGGGTCAAGGAGGCACAGTACGTCTTAGCTTGGAGGAGGGCGAATCGGGATCTGATCTCATGGTAATAGTGAGGCCCCGGTGCTATTGCACTCATTTGAGTCAAGTGTGTTTCACACATAACAATGTTGTTACATGTAAAATACAAAATAATGTCATATTTAATTTCTTTTCTTTACTTTTTTTTTTTTTTTGTCTTTATAAATAATTATGGTCATATGGCATCTTAGAAGTTCACACGAAATGAATACTATTTTTGTTTTCTTTTTTACTAAGCCCATAAAAAGAACACGAAATCAACACTTAGATGTTAGAAATTCATGACTTGCTCAAAAAGAAGTTTTAAACCTTTAAAATTTGGGCTTCACTCAAATAAGCTTATTTAAATTCGAATAACACAGGTTCTATATGTGTGTATGTGCCTTTATCTTTTTTCAATGAATGTTTGAATAGAGGGTAAATGAGGTTAAACGTTAATAAAGATTGGGTTTTGGATAGATTTTGAAGTGGGGAAGAGGATCCCTTAGTTGCTAAGGAGTTAAAATTAAAACATTCTTTAACTATTCCAACACGAAGAAAAAGAAAATATTAACATTGATCTAAAGAGGGAATGATTGAAACAGTACTTCTGATATTTAAGGAAATAATTTTTACAATCACTTATATAGCAAGTAAATGATTGATACAACACCATTTAATATTTGTTTTAAAGTTTGTTTTCTGTTGCCTTCCATTTTTATTCTACTTCCTTCCTCCTAACACGACTTTAAAAAAAAAAAAATCATTTTTGTTTATATAATTTTTATTAAATGCATGATAGCATTGTTATTGTACCAAGTTTGCCATTGTTACTTCAATGCGTTATAACTAGGTGGTAATAAGATTGTCTTTATGATACAATAAATATAAATATTTATTAGTTTGTGGTCATTATAAATGATTTCTTTATGATTTAGTAATTTTTTTCTGAAGTAATTTTTTTTAATTGAAATTACACTCAATTGGTGTTAACTATCATAATTAACAAATAATTAATTAAATTACAAGAAAATAAGATAATTTTTACAATTCACTAAGTGAATTTATTTAAGAGTTTGTAGTCACTTATTTATTATGATATAAACAGTATATTTTAAAGTAAAGTATTATTAATAATTAGTTAAATTATTGAGTGGTAATATCAATTATTATGATATAATAAATAAAAATATCTAATAGTTTGTAACTTAAAAGCATTTTAATTATAATGCCTTCAAATAAAACATAATTTTTTATTTTTTACTTTTTTTTTTGAAAAAGAGGTTCCCAACAAAAAATATCTTAAAAATAGAATAACATTAATATCAGTTGCACTATAGCTTAGTGACAAATAATCATAGAAGTTGCTGTTCGGCAAAACCAGAAAATTTTATAATACATTAGGAGTAACTCAGTAGCATATACAATAGTTACTCATTTGATTTACTTTGAAAAGAGAGATAGATATATATAAAAAAAGAAAAATTAGATCCATATTTTAAAAGTGATAAGAATATTTCTACATTTGTTCAAATTTTTTTATTTTCTCTTATATGTCATTAATTACTCGTTGTATATTTTAAAATTTATCTGGCAAAACCTACTGCTTCCCAATAAATACGGAAGAGATTAATGATTAATAAATTTATTAAATACCCCCAAAAAATTCCAAATTAAGCAACCCTTATCCACCCTGCCCATTTTGACTCCCCAATCCGCGTTCCTCAATTTCTTAATTAGGGTTCGAAAATATCTCTCAGTTTCCCTTTCCATTGATCGACAATGGAAAACGGCAACGATAACATCAGCACCGCCACCACCACCGCCGCCACCACCACCACCAGCACCAACAGCATTGTATCGGTGGAGAATTTAAATAGTGTAGCTAATTGGGTCAGTGCCACTGTGATCTCCGCCTTCTTTTCCTCTCTTGAACGATTCTCTTGCGTCAATGTTGCCACCACGGATCCTGATGACGACGACGACGACGACGAGGGACATGATCGCCCTCTCGCTCTCTCTACTAATCCTCACCTCCAACACGACGACGTTTCTCATCTCCCTGTTTGATAATCGGATCGGTATCTTGTTCAGTATCGTGCTAAGAAAAATCAAGATTTGATCTCTATTACTGGATAACATTCTTCTTTTTTTTAGGGTTTTATGAATACATAAAATTGTGATGTTGTGATTAATTAATTACAGTTGTGTTCGTTCTGTTTTTGTGAATTAATTGTGTTTTTATTGTAATATTTTCCTTGATTGAAAATAATTTTGGAGAGTTTTTATGTTAGTTGTTAACACTTTATGGCAATACTTCATGCTCTCGTCGACCCAAGGACGGGCGTGAGAAAAAATAATTGATATGTTTTTATTTAGGATCCGTATAAGAAATGGATAGAAATCGTTGATTTGATGTATTAGTAATGGTTAAAGGGAAGTCAGTACTTTTGCTGGGAGGCAAGAGCTATCTTAGTGCTCTTATTACTTTCTGGGTGTTCGCAATCTTATATTCATAGACAGAATTTAATTGAATTCCACTGCAGAACGTGCTTTCTGTAAAAGAAACATCATTAGAGAAGATTATTTGTGATTTGAAGTCTCATGAGAGAAAAATAGAAAGAATGTGGGTGTAAATTTCGTGGATGTAAGCTGGCAGTAGGGACAGAACAAGGGGGAGTAGCGGCATGTTAGGTTCTTGAATAATAACACGTTGGTTTGTAGTAGAACATGATGAATAATCTCTTTTTCGATGAACATTTATAGCTTGTGCATTGTAATAAGCCGATGCAATGTGTTATGTTTCTTTCATTGTTGGTGTGGCATGATGTGATTTATTTCTTACACTGGATTTATAGGCTTCAGTCTCTGCTGCGGTGAGAATAGGTTGAGTGGCCTCGCCTTGGAAATGTTTTACCTCTGAAGCTGCTACTTTTGACCACGAGTTTAACTCAGACCACTTTGAAAACAAGGACACCCAATGTAACAGTAATTCTATAGTGCACTATGTCCTGATTACTTGCTGAACTCTTATGCAATAGGTTATCTAGTGAACTCTGCTGGCTGTAGGAGTCATTACTATCAGTTTGTTTCAATGAACTCTAGTATATTCATGAGTTTTAGAGGAAAGGATTTTTCTATGTGTAGATTGACCATGTTTCCTAGGTCTGAACTGCTCTACTTATGTAGCAATTGCTACTGAGAGAGTTGGTTTTTGAATGTGCATCCTCGATAGAAGGGTAATAATGTTGAAGTCCTAACTTATTCTGGGCTAATGTCTCCTCTGTCTGCTTGGAGACATTTGATGATAATGTTGAAAGAATATTAGGTTCAAGCTACTTTTTTTTTTTTAATCATTCTCATTCAACCTCGTCTTTGTCTTTATATGTTATTTGTCATATTCAGTTTAACTTCCTGTTTTGGTTGGTGTGTTATGTGGAAGGTATATCTACACTGTATATTTGCATTATATTTCTTGGCATTTCTCCAATGAAACATAATTTTCAAGATGTGTTTTTGAAGAAGGAAAGAAAAATAGAAGTAGAAGATTGAGACGAAATATGATGCTCAACTAGAATATGTGTTGCATTGCATTGCATTGCCTTGATTCAACATTTCATTGCATGCATGCTACAAACATTTTACATCTTTCTCTCTCTCGATCTTTTATGTACAACAGGTTCCTTGTCTCGCCAGATGAAAGTCATAGTAAATACTTTTGCTGATCTGAGCAGATGCTAGTTCATGAATGTTCAACTTACCAGCATTACACGTCTTTGTGCTCCTTCCAACAAAGCAGCATGCCCACACAGCGGCGAATTATATACAACCTTGTTCTTGCCCCCTTCAAAGCCTTGCTTTTTGGCTTAATTCTGGTTTGCCTTTGTCGGGAAGAAGTAGCTTTCCTTCCATGGGAAGTAGACAGTTCCATGAACACGAGTTCCCTTTGATCTTTTGTGCACCACAACCACCTCCTTTGCCCTTCTTTGTCTCTTTTTATGAAGAGTTCCTTTCGTAGAGGAATCTTTTGAAGGAGTTACTGAAGTTTATTTCAGTTTTCTTTTGCAAGTCAGTAAATAATGGGTGAAAGTAGCACAAACCTGAGTTACTTGCTCTACTCAGCTTTTGCAGTCAACATGGTAGCTGTTTTTCTGTCCTCTTCCCTGGTTTGACATCCAGGTTTTCAGGGTAGTTGTTTCCTGTATTGCCCAAATCAGTGTTCTCTGCCAGGATTTATTCTCTAAAAGACAAATGGATTACATAACCCTCTAGACATGTTAAGATTGTCTGCATGCAGTTTCCTTGAATGCATCAGTTATATAAGCTTTTGGGTAGCTGAATCACAATTACCTTGGCTGAGGTGGGGAAGTGAATTTACCGTTAAGTTTTTTTTCCTTCTCATGACTATTTCGGGACCTTTCTTTTCCATTTTGACCTAGTACTAAGTTTTTCCCGCGTGAAAGTACTTTGGTTAATTACTGTGTAACGTATTTTGTTATTTATTTGTTCAAAGAATTTCTATGGTCAAATTCAATTTTCAATGCACCAACGTACTACCCATTTTGGCTATATAACCTTGTATAGGTACAAGTTATCGATCATAATGAAAAATGTCTGTATGAGGTGCAGAGTCTGCTTGTTTGCCGTTTGCAGCTCGCTCTCTCTCTTTGATTCGGATGTGTTTCACAATCCATGTAGAGAACAGAACCTTTCAGGCAGTCTTTTTTCCCCCAATTAATTGGGGTCACAATTATGCCCGAAACACCGCATTCTCTTCCCCCCGACCTCTTAGGAGCTTAAAAATAATACACCCAACTTTGTAGATGTTGGCTTTAAAAGTAGCTACTAGCAAGTAGACTCTGCCAATCATATTGTTTGATTTAGATATTTGATGTGTTAGTGTTACGGTGCAGAAAAAGCAATGTTGCTGGGAGAGGGAATTATTTTCCTGATTTCACTGGGAGGCCGGGCACAAAGGAAACATATGTTGAAGGTTAAGCCTTCTTGTTTTTACTTAATTTGATTGATAGGTAAAAATGAAACTCCAAATGCATTTAGATACTTAAACTAGTTGGGTACAAACCTAAACTAGTTGGATTCGTTTATATACATCATTCTGTGCCATGTTGTATGAGAATGAAATCTGGACATCATCGAAGCAATAACATACTCCTAAAATGACAGAAGAAGAGATAACTATGTTAAGGTGGATGCACAATAATACAAAATGAAAATAAATTAAAAATGAATACATTCATGCGTATGTTAAGGTGGATGCAAAGAAATTAAAAAAATGAATACATTCATCAAAATATGTATGTGTTCTTTTTTTTTTTACAACAAAATTTATGAAAAAATAAATAAATGACAAAATTTTGGTTAAAAATTATAAAATTAAATGAAATTTTATTTTTTATTTTTTATTTATTATATTTTAGTAGATCGAAAATACAATATAATTTATTAAACTAAAATAAATATATTTAATTAGATTTGTTGTATATTACGGAAAAGCTGACCAGTACAAATCTAAAACAGTAAGAAAATAATTTTTTTTATGAATATATCAATTCAAATGTAATGTGATATGATGAAATCACGAGCCTGGAGGATACTTGATCGTTAAGTTAAAAAAAAATTGTTTTATTTTTTTATGAAAGCTAGCATTAGACGCAACGAGGAACGTGGGAGAAGGAGTTGGTCATATGGGTGATGTATGCAACATGACTTGCACTGGTGGTGATTAAATGGCAAGGCAATTGAAATGAAAGAAAACAAAAGGAAAGAGCCGTGGGCTATTTATTTAGCCTTCAATTTTGTTATTTCTGGCCAACGGCCAACCTCCAAAACCCGGTGATCTTGCATGATGGTACACATTTTGCTCGCTTTTCCCTCTTCAGTCACGTGACTTCCACATGGGTAAATTCTCTCTTTTCTGACCAAAAAGTAAGAAAACACTTGGCAGACTTGGGCTCTCGGCCCATGTCTCTAACAAATATAAACAACACGTCGCCTTTGTCAGCTAGCATACGAGACTCTGCAACGCAAATACGCAATTGGTGTTAAGGGTTAGGGTTCATTCTTCTTCATTTTTTTCCTTTTTCCAATTTTGATCACAGTTTAGTTTATCTCCAAGCCCATACTTATTTTCTTTCTCTTTTCTTCTTTTCGTATATTCTTCTTTCCTTTTGGGTTTTGAGGTTCATTTTCTTCAGAACAGAGAGCTCCAATGATGAGCAAAAGAGAAGATGTGTATATATATATATATAAGTAAATGTCGTTCCAATTTCTGAAGCTTTACAGCTTTGAACATGTGGAACGTAATAGAAACTCTGAGGAGCTAGCTTTGTAGTCTGTATGTATTCTTGGGCTAATTGTAGAAATCACAGTGAATGAGAGTTTCCTGATTAACAAGACATGTTAAAACACTAGGGGAAATTGAGCGAATATTGTTAACCCAAAGCAGCGATTTCCGGCCCAAAATAATAAAATTCCACCTGCTTCTTCAGACACCGAGCCTCCTGATTATACTTATTTGATGAGAGCGTAAGTTTTTTCTTTTCTGGGTTAGTCTTGCTCAATTGCTACTTAAAAATTAGCCAAATTTCCTTTTCGTTTTCAGCAAACCAGACAGCTGTTAGATCAGTCTGCTTTCAGGTAAGAATGGATTGCCTGAATCTCTGGAATTTCAGGTTACGAATTAATTCGCTACTATTAGAATATGTTATTCTCAGGTTGACGGGCCAGATTTCTAAGCCGTTTTGGATTGATTTGTAGTAGCTCTTGACTCTTGTAGATTCATTTTCCTGCTACTGAAGTCTTTACTGTAGATGGTGAGATTCATAATTTCAGACACCATCGTTACAGTGACTGCTCTCATAGACTTCATCGTCCTGCTAATCCAATCATTGCAGGAGGCGTTTAGACAGAATGATTCTTGATTAAGTTGGAGTGATATAACGGAATCGACCCCAGTTCAATCAGAGGACCTGGTCCCGGCTTGACTTTCGATTCGGACACCACGAACCCTGACCAAATTGAACACACAAAATTCAATCCCATCTCAACACCCGGGAGTCCCAAACGCAGCCTCAGCCACCTATCCTGGCCCAAGCCTTGGGCATCCATGCCCAATCAATCCCGGAAGGCCTCGAACTCGATTCCGTTCCAACCCTTGGGCAATCTGGATCCAAAAGGTCTGTCCCTAACCCCCTGACATTCTGGACCCAATCACTGCCCTACCCTAGTCCGCTTTGAGCCCAACTTTGACTCAACCATTTGCGGGTCGACCCTGTAAATTCCAAGCCCATCTTAAACATGTTCCCCATCATTATATACTGTAGCATTTTTATTTTTTTGCTTTGGGTTGAACGGGCTAGGTTGCCTGGTGCATTGGCCTGTCCTGGCAGCATCTGGCCCTTTTTGTTGGCAGCTCAGCTCGCGCCTAGCCCTCTCTTCCTTTTTTTTTTTTCCCCTTCATATATATGTATGTATATCTATATATATGTATATATATGTATGTATTATCATGAAATTAGGCGTGAAAAATATTAATAACTAAAATAAATTGAACTAGAATTTACTTTATTAAAGTAAGTTTTTGATTTGAAAATTTATCTTGATTTTTTTTCTTAAAATAATTATGTGGTACCTTCCTATTAGATGGACTAATAAATTAAGCACCTAGGAAGCAAAATTAATAAACTTAGAAGTTTTATTTAGAAACTGAAATGCTTGATGGTTTCACTATTCAAATGAACAATAAAGCCATCATGTGGTTGTACTGTTTATTTGAATGGTATATATATATATATATATATTTACTTTACTCTAAACTATACTAATCAATCTTAGTTTTTATTTATTTATTTATTTTATTTTAAATTTTCACTCTTGCTTATTTTCTTAGTTTTTAAAAAATTTTAAATTATTATTATTATTATTTTTTAATTTTCACCCTCGGTTTTTTGTCCTTAGGTTTTTCTTTTTAAAATTCCTAAATTATTTCATTTTGATCCCTAAAATTTTAATCCTTAGCCGATGCACTATATGTCTTTTTTTTTTCTTTTTTTTTCCTCATCAATTTATGTTCTTTTTTTATTTAATTAAATGTTAAATTTTTTAAAAATTGATCGTTATTTTTTTCACACGGATCGATAATTTACTTTACCCTCACACTATACTACTCAACATTATTTTTTTTCCTTTTTTTGTTAGAAATTTTACCATTACTTTGTTTCTTATATTTTTAAAATTTTTACTCTTATTGTTTAAAATTTATTTATTCAATTATTTGTTTCTATTAAAATTATAATCAAATTAATTTTTTTGATATAATTTTATTTGTTAATAAACTTGATTTTTTAATATATGAATTTTGGAATAAAATTTTAGAACATCCGTGTTTATATATATATATATATATATATATATATATAGAGAGAGAGAGAGAGAGAGAGAGAGAGAGAGAGAGAGAGAGAGAGCTAAGAGTATATTTTAAATAGTTTGGCTTAATTTTTTTTAAAATTAATAATGGGTTTAAAAAGTCATAAGTTTTATTTGCTATTTTATATATATTTATTCAGAATTTATTATAATCAATTTTATTATGATTTTTATTTTAATCTATTAACTTCAATATATTTCATACAATTTAGTGAGCTTGGTCTTTTTTTTTTTTTTTTTTCCCCTTCATATATATATTATTATGAAAGTAGGTATGAAAGATATAGAAAATAAATCGTTAATTTTTTTTTAGTTTTACATACGAGTTTGAAGATGATAGAATATATGTGATATTTTTTAAGATTTTAGTTTGAACATATATATCTGATTATATTACTCTTATTTTTTAAAATTTATTTCTTCAATTATTTGTTTCTTATTAAAATTCTCATCAAATTATTTTTTGATATAATTTTATTTGTTAATAAATTTGTTCTTTCTAATATATGAATTTTGAAATAAAATTTTAGAACATTGGTGTTTTATATTTTAAAAATATATTATTATAATTTATAAATTTTAATTATATATGTGTGATATATATATATATATATCAAAATTTATCGGACTCAATTTTGTTGTATTTTGTTTTTTAGTCCATTGACTTCAATCTATTTCATACAATTTAGTTGATTTTTTTTGTATATTTTTCTATTTATTCTATATACTCCGAATCTGTTAAGTGTGTGTGTGTGTGTATATATATATATATATATATATATAGCATCGGTTCTATTAGAAATTAACTATACATCTACACACATAATACCCATTCTTTATTACTTATTTTTTATATTCTAATTTTGTTTAAATAAAATAAGTTACATTATGTTTTGAAAGAACTTCCTAATTATTCAAATACAATGTTTTATGTTAATATTATTAAATATTTTATTAATAAATGTATATATAAATCAAGCGATTTCGCTCAATATATAGATTCGATTTACATTGATCATAAAAAATAAAACTTTTACTCGCAGTATACCATATGAATCGTTAACACTACGTATACAACGAGTGCCCGACCGAAACATAACGAGGGTACCCATTCACGTCCAAGTGCACTCGTGATTCAGATCCATGCACATTGGTATTTTTATAATTTTTAAAGCTAACTTCGAGCCATTATATACTAGTTTTATCATATATAACACTTTGGTCCTAAATGTTTTTAAAAGTTTTAGTTTTAATTCTCAAATTTTTTTAATCTTAATTTGGTCTCTAAAGGTAAAGATGAGAGAGAAATGCAAAGAGAAAATGTAGGAGAAAGAGAGCCATGGTCATGCCATTTTGACGAGAGGATCTTCGTTTGATTTGTTTGTCTTAATGATATGAGTTTGTATACTGTGGTTTCAAATCATAAAATAATTAGAGGAGGTAGGTCAAAACTTTAAATATTTTAAGTTTTTGAATTGATTTTTTTTTAATGTCTATTAAAATGAGTTTTAAGATTTTAAACGAGTTATTTTACCTTATTTTGGTGGTTTTAAAGTTTTTTTTGTAAGAAAGTCGATGTATGAAGTGAAGTTTAGGGGTTGAAAACTAGAAAATCTGCTTGTAAATAGAAAGTTAAAAGTATATTTCAAATAATTTTTCTCATTTAAAAAATTATTTTTTAAAATAATCGATTAAGCAATTGAATTCAATTTTTTTATTTACTTATTCTTTAAATAATCAAAATTTATCAAAATTAATTTTATAGTATTTTTTATTTCAATCTATTAAGTTCGAATGTATTCAATATATTCTTTACAACTTAACTATTTTTTTTTAATATTTTTCAATTTATGTTTCACACTCTAAGCCTATTAAATATGGTCATATTGTATTAAAAAAAATTAGGATCATTGATTTTATTAAAAATTAATTATACATCTATACATATAACACCAACCATTTGCTATATTTTTTTAATATTTTAAAAATCTATTTCTTTTAAATTAAATTATTGAAACAATATCTTAGAAGAACCACTCAATAATTTAAATATGACTTTATATGCTGATATTATTGATTATTTTATAAATAAATATCTATCAAATGTATATACTTTAAAAAAAATTTTAAAAATATTTTTTATTTGTTAATTTTTTTATGGCTTAAAGTTTCAAAAAATCACAAACTTTACATTTTTTTTAATGATTTTAGCTTATTTTTTTAATTTTGGATAGAAGGTCATCACTTAAACCTCTAGTAACAATACTAGAATAGATCAACGTTTTCGACTTAAATTCGATCA